GTGGACTCCAAGAGACAGTGCTCCTGCCCTGTCTCCTCCTGCCCCGTCTCCTCCTGCCTGTCTCTCCACCTTTCTGGCTCACCCTGGGACCCGGTCCCCCTCACCGCGAAGGCCGCACGGACAGCAGGCCCTTCTCGCAGCCAGCAATCTCCACGTTTCTCTCCAACTGTCACCAGTGTTCCTACAGCCCCGGGGTGTCGGGGTGTCTCCACACTCGCCCCCCCCCCCCCCCGCGCTCTGCTACCTGTCTCCTGTCCTCTCTGGGTGCCCAGAGGTGGGGAAGGCAGGGTGTCCGGACCCCAGCCTGGGAGGCTCGCGCCCCCTGTCGGAAGGACCGGGCAAGAGGGGCGCGTCTCTAGGTTGGGCGGCGGCCTCCTACCTCTCCGACAGCGGCCCTGCGCTGCCCGCGGCCCGGGACCGCGTGCAGGGCCGGGGCGGGCGGCGCGGGCCCGAGGACACGCAGAGGCACGTCGGCTGCGTTTGAAAGGCTCACGTGCGCCTTGGGTCCCTCTCTCTTCTGCGCCCTCCGCACATTTCCCTGCAAAAAGGCGAGTGTGCAAAGCCGGCGGCAGCCCGCGGGAAGCGGCCCGGCGCGCGAGCGGTGCGACCCCGCTGCCCAGTTCCCGCGGCCTCCACCCGGCCGTGAACGGAACGCCCCGTCCCCGGCCAACAGCGCCGAGAAAGCGAACCGAAGAGGGACGGGGCCTGCGCCCACCCCCGATCTCGGGGGTCAAGTGAGCACCCATATTCCCGAGGGGCTCCCCGTGGGACCCGGGGCCCGCTGGCGCCCCCAGTTCCCGACGTGAGCGCAGGGCCGTCGGGGGCCGAGCTGCGCGTTCAGGGCCCCGAGAAGGCGCTCTGCGCGCAACTGGAGCCCTGGGCGCGCGGCCTGGGACCTGGAGAGGCCCGGCGTCCCGGCCCCCGGCGGGTGCCGTTCCTTTCCTGTCCTCCGGGACGGGGTGCCGACCGCCGCGTGCGCAAGGAGCGGCCGCCCAGCGAGGCTCGGCCCAGGGCGACGGACGGAGCCCTGGGGCGGGGCGAGGAGGCCGAGGTGTGCCGCGTTTGGTGGCGTCCGGGGCGCTGGTGTGGATGGCGAGTCGTTAGCCCGAGAATCCAGCTTCCGGGGCCCCCGCCGCGGCCCCGCTGTTTGGCTCGCTGAGACCCGCGCGAGCCAAGCCTGGTCGCGCGAGGACGCCGGCCCGGGCTTCCCGCGGCTCGCTGGGGGAGGGTGTTCTTCCGACGTGTGTCCTGCCCGCCCCCCCCCCAAAACCTCTCTCCTACCCCCACCCCCAAACGAGACCCCAGAGACCGAGCGACTCCACGGCCCCCCTGCTCTCGGTGCCCGCGCGCGGCCGCGGTGCCGACGCGCTGTACCCGCCTGGGCGGTGAGGTGCACACTGCGGCCCCGGGGCGCTGGGTCCCCGGCCCGCGCGGGGGCCTCGACCTCCGGAGCCGGGGTGGGCGCGGGGACGGAGCCCGGGGTGTCGCCCGGGGCCAGGCGCCGGCCAGGCTGATTCTCCCACGTGTCTCCAGTGCAAAGCGAGCGGGGTTCGCGGCAGCCGGCTTGGGGGGGGCGGTGACCCCCGAGTCAGAGCTGCCACGCCGGGTGCCGCGTCGCAGAGGACCGCGCGGGACCCGGGGTGCGGTGCCACTCCGCCCCGCGGCGCCCGGGTCTGCGGGCGGACGGGCTTCCTCCCGGGAGCCGGAGGGCCCGGCCGCGCCCGCGCCGGGGTCAGCCCGGCCCCGGGGTGAGGCCCTCGCCCCGGACAAAGCCACTTCCCCCGCCCGCCGCGCCGCCCGTGCGCCCCAGTCCGCGCGAGGCCGGGCCGGGCCCAGCGGTGCGCCGCGCGCGCTTAGCCCCGGCCTGCGAGCGCCTGTGCGCGCCGTCTAATTGACTTTCCGGCTACCTTTTTATGAGTACATGTGTTTCCAACAAAAGGTCTCATTAGGACAATCTGGTTCCACTAATTTAGAGGTTGGGAAAGAACGTGGGAGACCGGCGCGCGCTCCCCCCTTCTTTAAGAGTTTGCAGAAGTTGAGATTAAGAAATGACAGGGGATGCACTGCCCCCCCCCCCCCCACGCCGGCCTGGTTTTATAACCAGTTCCCTCCCGCTCGGGCTACCCGCCCCGTGCCGCCTGCGATCCCACTACACACCACGTACCCACAACAGCCATCTGATTCCTAACGGAGGGGGGGAGAGGAGGAGGAAGAAGAGGAGGAGTAGGAGGAGGAGGAGGAGGAGGAAGAAGAGGAGGAGGAGGAGGAGGAAGAAGAGGAGGAGGAAGAGAAAGAAGAGGAGGAGGAAGAGGAGGAGGAGGAGGAGGAGGAGGAGGAAGAAGAGGAGGAGGAGGAGGAAGAAGAGGAGGAGGAGGAGAAGGAAGAGAAGGAGAAAGAGGAAGAAGAGGAGGAGGAGGAGAAGGAAGAGAAGGAGAAAGAGGAAGAAGAGGAGGAGGAGGAAGAAGAAGAGGAGGAGGAGGAGGAAGAAGAGGAGGAGGAGGGAGAGGAGGAGGAGGAAGAAGAGGAGGAGGAAGAGGAAGAAGAGGAGGAGGAAGAGGAAGAAGAGGAGGAGGAGGAAGAGGAAGAAGAGGAGGAGGAAAAAGAGGAGGAAGAAGAGGAGGAAGAGGAAGAAGAGGAGGAAGAAGAGGAGGAGGAAGAGGAGGAGGAAGAGGAGGAGGAAGAGGAGGAGGAAGAGGAGGAAGAGGAAGAAGAGGAGGAGGAAGAAGAGGAGGAGGAGGAAGAGGAGGAGGAGGAAGAAGAGGAGGAGGAAGAGGAAGAGGAGGAAGAGGAGGAGGAGGAAGAGGAAGAAGAGGAGGAAGAAGAGGAGGAGGAAGAGGAAGAGGAGGAAGAAGAGGAGGAAGAAGAGGAGGAGGAAGAGGAAGAAGAGGAGGAAGAAGAGGAGGAGGAAGAGGAGGAGGAGGAGGAAGAGGAGGAGGAAGAGGAAGAAGAGGAGGAGGAGGAGGAAGTTTTGTTGTTTAAGAAATTTGCTGAGCTGGATAGAGGTGGGGAGGAATCCACTTTTAGAAAGGAAACGGAGCGGATAACTGTAAGAGGAGGGCGCTGCACTGTTGCTTGCTGGGTTGGGAGGTCAGTAAGAAGTCCCCACTCCGGACTTCGCTCCTCGTTGCTACATCGACTAGGCTGTCCGTCCCAGATTCTCCGAATTAAGAGCCAAATAGCGCAAAGAGAACCAAATTGCTAATTTCCTTGGAAGAAGAAACCGTAGGCAGGTCGGGGACTCGGACTGTTTCTCTCCACCTGGGAAATCAAAGGCGAGGCCGCAGGCGGGGTCTGTCGGAAGGGAAGATCTCTTCCCGGGCCTGGCAGCGATCAGCGGAGCCGCAGACGCCGCCAGCCTGGAGGCCGAGCGAGCCCCACGCCGCGGGCCCGTGGTTTTAGGGTTTTAGGCCCTTGGTTTTAGGGAGCCCCCATCTGATCTAAACAGCTGAGAACCAAGGACGCCAGCAGCCCGGCCGCGGGCTCCAGCCTGGCTTACCCCAGACGGCGGCCGCGGGGACTTCTGCCGGCAGCCGTTTGTTCGAAGGCCCCGGGAAGCGCGGCTCGTGTCTTCGGGCTCCGGGCTCCTCCAGAGACGGCAGGCCGATCCCTCCGCGCGCAGCCTCCATCCGGAGGCCTCGGAGCCTCCCCGTGCCTGGAGTCGAGCATGGCCCAGGCAGGCCCCCAGTGTTTCCCCATCCTCCCTGGACAAAGGACCCCACCTCTGTCCAGTCCGTCCCTGCCCCTCGGGGTGACCCAGGGCTTGGCAGCCACCGCGGTGCCAGGCGGGGTCTCCCACAAGTCCGTGCCCAGCCCTGGGTGCCCTGGCCAGCTCTGCTTGGTGCCCGGTACAACGCCCTGACCACTCCCGACATCTCGCTCGTCCTGGGGTTTGCTCGCAAAAGACCAACAGCCACGGCCGGTGGCGGGTGGCCGGCGACCCGGCCGGCGGCGCGTTCCATCTGACTCACCCTCGGTTTCAGGCTCGCCCCCCCCCCCCGGCCTTGTCCTTTGGCCCGTGGCTTCCCCGGGCCTTGTTTTCTGTCGGAGTCCAGCTCTCAGTGCCCGGGATCACGGGGGAGGGTGCGAGGAGCCGCCGGCCCCCGGCGCGACCCTCCTCGTTCCTGTGCGTTCTCTGGTTTCTTTGGCCCAGGGCGCGCGATCCGCAGAACTCGCTGCGCGGACGGCGCGCGGGGCTGAGCGGGGCTTCCCAGCAGCCCCAAACCCCAAACCCCAAACCCCGTCCCCGCGCCCAGCGCCGCCGCGCTTGGGGACCCGACCGCAGCCCGGAGCGGCGGCCTGGCCGCCGGAGCCAAGGCCGTGCAGGGGCGCTGGCGCCGGGCCGCTCGCGGCGGAGCGGCCGAGGCTTCCCGGGCTCGCGGAAGAGCCGGGTGGGGAGCGAGGCGCCTCGTGGCGCGGCGCAGGGGCGAGGGCGGCCCGCTTCCCGCGGCGCCTCCAGCCCCGGCGGCGGCTCTTTTCTGAGTTCGGAAACCGCTGCCGGCAGTCTCTAAGCTTTTTTGTTTTTTAAGTCGGGGGTAGCAACGTCTTGAAGCCTGAGCATTGGAAGGCGCACCCCAAGTCCCGGGTCTCACGGGTGACCAGCACCGGCTCAGATCGCCCCAGGGAACCTCCCTCCCCCCCTCTGTCACCTGGGACGCCCAGGGCGGCGCCCCGGCCGCGTTTGTAAGGCAGAGTGACGGGGAGCACCGCTTTCATCGGAGAAGGGGCTGGGGCGAGGCCATCCCTGGAGAGCCAGGCCCCCGAAAGCCCCGCTGCTCGAGGTGACCAGAGCCCCCGCGATTCTGGGGCGCAGCGGGAGCTCGCAGGCCCTGTGCCTCGGCTGCCCGGGGTGTCCGGGACGCCGGGGCCGCGGGGCCCGCGCAGGGCGCACCGCCCGGGGCTCCCCGCGCGCCCAGCCTCCCCAGCCCGGCGCGGCCCGCCGCGGGGCCTGCGTCCCCGGCCGCCCCGGCCCCGGCCCGGCCCCGGCCCCGGCCCGCACTCACTGTCCTGCTGCGGGGTGTCGCTGCCGCTGGTGAGGCCCGGCGACTCCAGCAGGCCGCGGCCCGCCTCGCCCGCGCCCTCGTCCGCCGGCGCCGCCACCATGTCGCCCGCCTCCTCCAGGTCCAGCAGGTGGCTGACCGAGAAGTTCTTCTTGGCCTGCAGCGGGTCGAGGCCGCCCGGGCCGTCCAGCCGGCCGCCCAGCGCCGCGGGCCGCTCCAGGACGTGCGCGTAGCCCGAGGTCATGGCCCGCCCCGCTCCGCCCCGGTCCCGCTCGCTCCGCCGCGCCGCGCCGCTCCGGGCCCGCCCGCCCCCCTCTGCCCGCTGGAGTCCACACGCGGTGGGCGCGAGGGGGGGAGCCGAGCGCAGCGGGGAGGGGGGCGAGGGACGGAGGGAGGGCCAGAGAGAGAGAGCGAGAGAGGGAAGGAGAGAGAGAGGCCAGAGAGGGGCCCGGAAGGCCGGGCGAGGCGGCCGGAGGCGGGGCGCGGGGACCCCGCACCGAGCTCCGCACCGCGGACCCCGCGGCGGCCCGCGCTCCCGCAGCCACGTCCGGCGCGTGCCGGACAGGGAACCGCACCGAGGAGTTCACCTAACACTGATAATGATGGAACGAAAGTGAGCCCGGATCAGAAGAGAGGGACAGACGGGGAGAGAGAGACGGAGAGAGAGGGAGAGACGGACAGGGAGAGGCGGACAGGGAGATGGAGAGGGACCGGAGAGCGCGCAGCCCTTCGCCCTCGCAGCTTTCCAAAACCTTGCCCAGCGCTCACTAAACAGAGGAAGGAGGAGGAGGAGGGGAGGGGAGGGAGGAGGAGGGGGAAGGGGCCGGCGGGCGGGGCCGGGCGAGCAGGGAAGGGGGAAGGCAAAGTCGGCTTCCAAAAAAAAAAGAAGGCCAAGACGGCCCCGTCCTCCCTCCAGCCCGGCCTCCCTCCTCCCTCCAGCCCGGCCTCCCTCCTCCTCCCTCCAGCCCGGCCCCAGTCCTCCCTCCAGCCCGGCCTCCCTCCTCCTCCGCCCAGCCCGGTCTCCGTCCTCCCTCCAGCCCGGCCTCCCTCCTCTTCCCTCCAGCCCGGCCCCGTCCTCCCTCCAGCCCGGGCTCCCTCCTCCCTCCAGCCCGGGCTCCCTCCTCCCTCCCTCCAGCCCGGCCCCGTCCTCCCTCCAGCCCGGCCCCGTCCTCCCTCCAGCCCGGCCCTGTCCTCTCTCAGCTGGGCTCCGTCCCCCCACGGGGCCCAGGAGCCGCCACCCGCCCTAACACTCCCTCCAGCCCACGCCGCCGCCGCCCAACCCGACCAGGAGCCTCTGCAGCTCCGGAGCGCGCAGGTCCTGCGGAGGGGCTCTGCATACGCGTGTATAGACAGGTGTGCCATGAGTGTGCATGTGCAGTATACGTACAGGTGTGTGCATGTGCATACGAGCGTATACAGACATGTGTGCGCATCTGTGCGTACGTGTGCATACATATGTATGTGCCTGCCTGTGTATACATGGGTGTGCGTGTGTATATGCTCAGGTGTGCACACACGTATATGTGCATATGTATGTGTGCATATGTGCATATATGTATTTACACATGTATATAGGTACGTGTGTAAAAATAGGGCTGCCGAAATCCAAAGGGCAGTAGCTCCTCCCAGCCTCTCCCCTGCCCTCCCCCTCTCCCCTGCCCTCTCCCTCTCCCCTGCCCTCCCCCTCTCCCCTGCTCCCTCCCCCTCTCCCCTGCCCTCCCCCTCTCCCCTGCCCTCCCCCTCTCCCCTGCCCTCCCCCTCTCCCCTGCCCTCTCCCTCTCCCCTGCCCTCCCCCTCTCCCCTGCTCCCTCCCCCTCTCCCCTGCCCTCCCCCTCTCCCCTGCCCTCTCCCTCTCCCCGTCCCTCTCCCTCTCCCCTGCCCTCCCCCTCTCCCCTGCCCTCCCCCTCTCCCCTGCTCTCCCCTGCCCTCTCCCCCTCTCCCCTGCCCTCTCCCTCTCCCCTGCCCTCCCCGCCCCTCTCCCCTGCCCTCCCCCTGCCCTCCCCCTCTCCCCTCCCCTCTCCCCTGCCCTCCCCTGCCCTCCCCTCTCCCCTCTCCCCTGCCCTCCCCTCCCCTCTCCCCTCCCCTCCCCTGCCCTCCCCTCTCCCCTGCCCTCCCCTCTCCCCTCCCCTGCCCTCTCCCCTCCCCTCTCCCCTGCCCTCCCCTCCCCTCTCCCCTCTCCCCTGCCCTCCCCTCCCCTCTCCCCTGCCCTCCCCTCTCCCCTGCCCTCCCCTCCCCTCTCCCCTGCCCTCCCCTCCCCCTCTCCCCTGCCCTCCCCTCCCCTCTCCCCTCCCCTCCCCTCTCCCCCTCCCCTCCCCGGGACGCAGGCCCTCGCTCTGGCACTTCAAAAGGCGCGGAGTGGCACGCGAGGCTTTGTGGGAACACGAGAAAATTGGGGCCCCGGGAGGGCGGTCTCCACTTAATGGGAGCCTGCAATTACCCAGAGCCTTTGAGCCGCCTGACGCTCCACAGACCCCTCTCCCCCCTCCCCCCTCCCCTCCCCACCCCACCCCCCCCCCCCCACCCGCCTCCTGCCCGGGCACAGGGGGATCCAGGAACCCCTGTGGCCGGCAGCAGGGGGGGTGGGGGGGGAGGGGGGGTGGGGGGAGGGAGGGAGGGAGGGGGAGGGGGGCGGATCTTTCCCCGGTGCAGGTCCAGTTCCCACCCCTCGCCAGACGGACGGGGGCGGCACCCCGGAGCCCGGGCCCTTCCGACGCCCGGCGCCGCCGCCTCCGCCTCGCTCGGGACCGGGGAGGGGCCGGGCCGCGCCGGGCACCGGGGAGGCTGCGGCTCCGGGCGCGGCCCCGCCCCGCGCGCGCTCGAGGGCAGGTTGCGGGGCGCGGCGGGGCGCCGAGGCTGGGCGGGGGGACCCGCGGGGATCCCGACGGAGCGCCCGGAAACCGCCCGCCCGGACGGCCGGGCCGAGCCTGTGCTCGAGCGCGCACGCGCACGCGCCCCGCCGGGAGGGGGGACGGGCGGGAGCCGGCGCCCGTCGGCGTTTGATGCCATCAAAGGCCGCGGATTGAAACCAGATGTGCGCCGGCCTCGCGCATCCCGGGGGGAGGGGCTCCCCGCCGTCGGCCCGCCCCCGTCCCCCCCTCCCCCGTCCTCCCCCTCCCCCGCCTTCCCCCCTCCCCGTCCCCCCCTCCCCCGTCCTCCCCCTCCCCGTCCTCCCCCTCCCCCGCCTTCCCCCTCCCCGTCCTCCCACCCCTTGGCCCCCGTCGTGTCGCGCACCGTCCCCCCGACGGGGAGCGCCCGGGGTGCGGGGCGCCCGGGCTCCCTGCAGTCAATGTCTTCCCTGGCCAGGCACGGGGTGGGAATGGGTGAATCTGGGGCCCCCTCCCCAAGAACTGAACGGAGGTCCCGACGCCCCCCCCCCGCGTCCCGGGGCCCCCGCAGCGGGGACCCCCCCCCCCCCCCGCCCAGGGCTCCCTGCGCCTTCACCCCAGCCCGGCCCCGACCGCTCTGGGGACAGAGGTCCCGATGGGCAGGCGCTGGGACGGACAAGGGGCGCGGCGGGGGGGGGGGGGGGGCCGTCCCCGTCCCAGGGCGGGCGGAGGGTCGGAGGCCTGCTGGGGAAGCAACAACCAAGCAACCACGCCAACCGCCCCGCGCCGGCGGCCCGCCCCAAACCTGCGCCCAGCATCGCCCCAAACCTGCGCCCAGCATCGCCCCAAACCTGCGCCCAGCATCGCCCCAAACCTGCGCCCAGCGTCGCCCCAAGCCTGCGCCCAGCATCGCCCCAAACCTGCGCCCAGCATCGCCTCAAACCTGCGCCCAGCATCGCCCCAAACCTGCGCCCAGCATCGCCCCAAACCTGCGCCCAGCGTCGCCCCAAGCCTGCGCCCAGCATCGCCTCAAACCTGCGCCCAGCATCGCCCCAAACCTGAGCCCAGCATCGCCCCAAACCTGCGCCCAGCATCGCCCCAAACCTGCGCCCAGCATCGCCTCAAACCTGCGCCCAGCGTCGCTCCCAAACCTAGAGGCCCGAGGCCAGGGAGAGGGAGGCCTTTGTAGACTGGGAGGAGGGTCCCCCACCCAGCAAGGGTTCAGGGGTGCAGGGCTCCAGGGTGGCCAGGGAGGGCCCCGGGCCGGGGCAGTCCGGGACCCTTCGCCATGCGGAGCAGCTGCCTCCTCTCGGGATGGATGCCCGTGGGCCTCTGCAGCTGCAGAGGCCTGGTCTCAGCTGCCCTTCTGCCGGGTCTCCCAGGAAGGAGGCCGCATGTTGGGGCACAGGCTGGGGGAGCTCTGTCTCCCTGGAGCAAATCTCCTAAGCAAGTAGCACCCGTAGGACTGACAGCTCTCCCTCTCTACCTGCCCCCTCCACCCTCCACCCTCCAGCCTCCACCCTCCACTGGCCACCAGCCACCCTCCACCGTCCCTCAGCTGTTTTACATATATTATATATGTCTATATATACATACACATATATACATATATGTATATATAGATAAGTCTCCATAAGAAGGGCTTTTTCCATTGGCTTTACTCTTTAACAATTACCACGGGGTTGGATGTACACTCTGATGATGTTTATACATATCATTTGTAAATCGTTGAGATTCTGGATTGTAACTGAATGTCACCAGAACAACCCTAAATGGGGAATTTATCACTAGCAGAGGGGTGTACTTATTTCCGGAAGCCTAAGGGGTGCTAGGGCCAGAGAAAGGGGGTCCTGGATGGCTTGGAGGCAGTACTCGTCTCTTCTGCTGTGTCTAGGCTGAAGCCCAGCTCTTATAGAGGGGCCGGGCAAGATGAGAAATTGGTGGACTGAAGTTCTCTGGGCTCAGGGTGCAGTTACCAGGAGAGCCAAGCACCTCCAGAATTCCAGAGCAAGCATCTGGCAGAAAGATGTCAGGCAAAGAGACCAGGCAACATTGTAGCTAAGGGCCTCTTCCCTCACCTGCAGCTAGCCGGAGAACTTGGAAGGCCCCAGGGGAAATGGCCTACTGCTGCCCCTGTGCTTCTTTAATCTCTAGTTTGCTTTCCCCGTGTGACTTCCTTTTAGGAAGAGTTGGAAGGAAAGCATCTCTAATTCCAAATCTCCAAACATGTGTAGGTTTTCCCTTGGCTTTAGCTTCAACTCCCATCCATCAATCAACATTTATTAGAGTTTGAAGCCTTAGATGATGTAACCAATCAGAACCTTCTTCCTCATGACTCTCCCAGCAACTGAGAGTGACTTTCCAAATATTCTTTGTCTCAGCTCCTTTAGAACAACCATTTTGGGATTCCTTCGCAAGTAAG